TATGATCGGAGGAACATGAAAGTAAAAAACGTGAACACATTAGACACAAGGACAGATATATGTATTACGTACCGGTGTTATTATCACCAACAATGCTTTGTTTGTATAAGCCGTAGAGTTTGAGAAGTTCGTTGTTATCTGGTTTCGTAGGTAAGTTGTTAGCTTCTTGGGCTGCTTGGACAAAAGCTGGCTACATAGGGGAAAATACGGTAGGAAGAGAATAAGCATATCATATACGTAGCCGTTGATTGTCTATTCAACTTTATTATTAGTTACATTGTTAGTGGATGCAGCGTCGCTCATTTTTATAGATTAGCAGAGTAATGTTAAAGTGGCAGATATCAACTGACAGCCAGCCGTATGAACTTGGCAACTCTTTATATATTGTTATTATCTTGTGTATGACTGTAAGTCATGTGAGTCGCATAGAATTTCCTAAGTAAGAGTAACCCCCCTTTCTCACGCTCACGTCCACAGTTGATTTGTTGCAAGCTTCTCTTCCAATAACTCCATAAGGAATCATTGACTTTTATCTTGCGTTTCTTTTCCACTGCTCCGTTATCCATAACACAATACATATTATGGATGCAGATTCACAAGCAACCTGCATCAGTGGTAGTCGATTGGGCGGGATCTAACGAGATTACCGTCATCTAAAAGCTTTTGATGGAAATATGGGACCGTGTAACGGTAACATTCGGGATCAGTCGGTATATAGTATCTCCCCCTATAATAATAAGTTAGCACAAGATTGAGCGGGTCGCTGATGATATTAATATGTACATGTCAGGTCAGGGGTCTAAATAGCTTCTTACCCTTTGTTGTCCAATAAATGCTGAAATGAGTAGTAGTAACACAATACAATTTCTACTCGGAATCTTGCCTATTATTACATAAATTATAATAACTTTTGTAGGCTAATTGATCGTGCTTTTCGAAATAGTAACAATAAATTTTGTATTAATATTAATTTATCCCATTCTAATGAATAAATTAGAAATGGTTGGTTTCTTTACGTAAAATTCACGATTTACGAAGTATTTGTATATGATAATGAAACGCTTATGCCGGCCATTGTATATGCCAGTTTTTGCTATAACAACCCCAGGAAGGTTCTTATATGTATTGTTTTATACACCGGTTTCTCTTATATCGGTTCAAAATTTTGTTAAAATGGGACCAACGCTTTACTTCGGTTTACACACATTATTACGTCCATGTTCGAAATGTAACTCCATTTATCCTCAATATTACTTATTTAACAACACTTTTCTCATTTTAACAGAACGCGTAAGTTTGTTCAAGACGGGTTATCTACCGTATGAATTAAATTGCACAACAATTAACCATATATTAATATTTAGTAAGTTAAATCCTATGCAGAAAATTATGCAAATTTTTACTAAATAAAATTCATATTGTTTAAAATTTTAGCTTTTTTATATTTTTATGCTTTTTTTATGGTTTGTTAGTGTAATACTGTATATTGGAGAATGTTAATTTGTGCTTCTTTTTTAAAAAAAAAGATAGAGACAGTTGCGAAGTAACAGTGGCAACGTTTTCATAAATTGCAAAACACTGCTCAATCTTTCCATTGAATTGTTAAAGCTACTATATTAATATGACGTTACAATGCTTATAAGCAAAAAAAAATAATTAGCATTAGTGGGAATAACATAATTATGTTATTCCCACTTAGTCTAGGTTATTCCCACTCGGTGACGACGGTGTCGGATTTCTGTCGTCATTTGAGTGATGATGGTATCATATATGCGTCGTCATTCGAGTGACGATG